GAAGGAAAAGACACGATTTTATGTGATTTCAAAAAGCGATAACCAAGGAAGTTAAAAATGAAGTTTAATTATCCTCTGGGCAAGAAAGAAGCTCGTTTGTTTTTGTGTGAAAAAAGAGCACAGTATGTTTGAGTTTCAGAAAATAAACATCCATCTGAGCTGTCTTTTCTGCAGAATATTCTAGAATTTAAGAATTTGATGTTTGTTGCCAGTCTTTCTGCTGACAGTGGGTGCCTTCTGCCTCGGTGCCCTCCGCCTCTACCAGGGTTGGGATCGGGAAATAGTGGGCGGAGGTGCTGGGGCTGCATAGTGGCTGGCAGGTTGGCCTCTGTACTAGTGACTGTTTGGAAAATCACCCACCACCTCAGCTGATAGAGCAGAAACCCTAATAATAGAACACTGCTCTCTCTTGATTCCACTGACATGGAATTGATTTGGAGATTGAGCACATCCAAACTGCATCTGGGAGATGATTCAATGTGGGCCACATTCCTGTGAGGTTTATCTGGTATAATTTGTCCACAAAACCTTGATATCAGGACAGAATTCCTCCATTTCTTCCCATGTACCCTAATGAGCAATACATAAACATGGTAGCCTGAGATACACTCAGTGGTCAGCTCAGCTCTTTTGTTGCCTAAGTATAAGCATCTTAGTGGTTTGTTCAGCTCACATGTATATTGGGGAGGTGGGATACTTTGGGACATCACTGGACCTGCATATCAGACATATAGAGGGGACTGTGTGTGAGGCTTTAGGACTCCACACAGAGGATGAGGAGGCTGTATAGGGATTTGAGTTGGAGAGGTGCTTAGTAGAAGAACCAGGAGTGAGTGGTGTCATAGAAGCCCCAAAAGACTAGATCTTGACTGGAGAATGTGGTCAGCATTGCCATATAATGCACAGAAGTCACACTGGACAATAGCAAAGCCTGGGGTTAAGGATGTGTGTTAGACTTAGATTCAGTTCTTAGCTTTGCAGTGTGACCTCAGAAGGGTTACTTCACCATCCCAAGCCTCTGTATAAATCAAGCTAAGCATGCCTGTGTCATTGGGCTATTGGGAAGAAACCATGACTTGATGTATGAGGTGCCTGATGCGTGGTAAATGCCCAGTTAGTGGAAGACGTTTGTTGTTATTGTTATTAGTAGTATTGGTGGTGGTACTAGTGGTAAGATAAAGAGTGAAGAGTATTGATTGGATTAACCAATGAGGACGTTAGCTGATCTTGACATGTGCAATGCCAGGAGAGAACTGAGTGCAGGAAGCAGCATGCTATGGTGTGAGGCAGGGCTTCTCAACGTCAGTACCACTCACAACTGGGGCCAGGCCAGTGTTTGTTTTGGGGGCTGTGCTGTGTGTTGTAGGGTATTTAGCAGCATCCCTGGCCTCTACCCACTGGATGCCTTAGGCACCCCCCAGTTGTGACAACCAAAAGTTCCTCCATACATTGCCTGTCTGGGAGGAAGATTGCCCATAGTTTAGAACCACTGGACTAAGTAATGAAGAGAGACAGGGAAGCAATTACTTCATATTATTTTTCTAGTTTAGATTTATAATCTTAATTTCAGTAATTATTTTGAATAGGGCAGTTACTCTCCCATGGAATAAAATTTGAAAGATGGAGGAGACGTGAATGCTCTCCTCCACCACTTGCATCCCAGCCTGTTGTCCACCCCAGGCATCACTAACGGCACCTCTTTCTGGTGAGTTCTTGGAAGTGGAGACTCCACAGAATCGTGGCTGTGAAGGAAAGGGGAAGATAGGGTAGCACCGAGGCAGGCCCCCAGATAACACCAAACACACTTACTTGGTGAGTGGACAGATGTGTACAGAGGGGAGGTGCAGAAGTCCAAGGAGAGCAGGGGGATGGTTGGAGATGGAGCTAGAGAAAGAAGAGGATTTGCCAAGACCCAGAGTCAGTGATGCAAGACAGAGTGATTGAGGAGAAGCTAGATGCCGGGTGCTACGGCTTGAACAGCGAATAAGTGGATGATGCCCCTAAAGTCCCCGCTCTAGGAAGGTGCCACTTTAGAAGGGAGGAAGGACAATGAAGACGTGTAGGAAAGATAATAATACAATGTCACACTGACAATTTGATGGCAGTAGGGAAATCCTACTGATGGCTCTGTGTGTTGGGTGGGGCTGCTTTTGCTAGGAGTCCCAGGAGGGCCTTTCTGAAGAGGTGGTGCTTAAAGAGGAGGAGAAGGTCAAATGGAGATCTTGGGGAAGAGTTTGTGAACCAGGAGGCACAGCAGGTGTCCCAGGAAGGGAATGAACTTGGTCAGTGCAAAAGAAGAGAAGGGAGAGAATGAGGAAGAGAGGGAGGGAGGTGGGACTCGCAAGCCACAGGGAGGAGTCAGGATTTTATTGTAGGTGAGACAGAAGACCATTGGAAGGGTTTGTACCTCTAAGGCTATAATCTAGTCTGTGTTTTCAAAAGACCATGTTGTGTGCTGGGTGGGAAGCGGACCAGCAGTGGAGGACAGACAATAGCAGCTGAGAGAGCACTTAGGAGTTGGTTGCTCCCATCTGTGCAGAAGCCTGCAGTGGCCAGGCCAGGAGGTGTGGGAGGCACTGGGATGCACAGTCCTGTCTACCTGTGGGGAGGCATCCCAGGCTGGAGTTCGGGACAGGAGTCTGGGCTGGAGCTACAAATAGGAAAGTCATTAGTTTGTGGATAATATATGCCCTGGGTAGGAGGAAGAGCCTGAAGAATGTCTGGATACCCAGCCTAGGGGACACGGGACAGAGTAGGAGGGTGCAGCCACCCAGCCATGGGACAGGGAAAACAGAAAGGTGTGGAGGCTGGGAGAAACAGAGTGTCCAGTGGAGTGGTACTTGCACCCATGCAGGGTTTCAAAACTTGAGGGGCTTTTAAAAAACTTCAGGATGATGGAGGAATCTTAAACTGCTTGTTGTAGAAAGGGGCATTGAGTCTAACAGGGCTGAGGATCAGTGCTCTAGAAGGAGGAGAAAGGGGTCTTGGAAGGCAGAGGGGAACTCTCACCCACAACTGGCATCAGGCCAGGCATAGGCAGGTGCAGAGGGACAGAAATGTATAGTACAAGAAGGTCTGGAAAGTTCTTACCTGATATTCTCATTATGAAGCAGGAAACAAGAACTGAGGATGAGATTGAAAGAAGAAGTCGACAATAATGTAGGGGACTTAATGAGATGGATGGAGAATTGCAGTTCTTTTTCTGGATAATTGAACAGAGTTGACTAGGGAAGTACTTGAGGCTGGAAGTGTGGCCATAAGAATACATATGGCTTTGTGATTTGCCTCAGCATCCCAGGATCAGAGCAGGGAGGCCTGGGGCTTGGATCAATGCCGGACTGTGGATTTGCCAGGCAGGTTTGAGAGAAAGAGAAGTGGCTGAGGACTTGGAGGGCTTTGCCAATAAAAGTTGTAAGTTTTGGGCTTCAGAGTGTGCTCTGGAGAGGGGAGCAGAGTTAGGGATAGGTTGAGAGAAAATGGGAGGGGATGCAAACTGAAGCTCCTCCCAAAATCGAAGAATAACGATAGTGAAAGTAAGAGAGGGCCAGAGGGCCGATAGTCGTCAGAGTGGGATGCTTGGATTTAGCCCCGTGGGTGGTGCTGAATAATCATATGCATGACTGAATGAAACTCCACAGATTGTGAAATGGTAGGGAAGGTTCTTGGCCTTAAAGTCAACGGATATTGCAGTATCTAAGTGGAGAGGGCCAGGTGCCAAATTGTCTGATGGGTCTGGCACTGTGGGTAGCAGGGACAGGATGGGGAAATGCCCCTATTCTACCGTGGAGGTGGCATTGCTGCTCCGCCCGGGCTTGGCATCCTCCTTACCTGGGGCTCAAGAGCATGAGCAGCCTCCACCTGAGAGGCCTTAGAGGAGAGTGTGGTCAAAGAAAGAGAGGGAAGCAGCGCACTCTCTGACAAGGTGCATGTTGGGGATTTTGTTGGCCAGGAGGTCTGAGATTCCGGGATGCTGCAGAAGCACTGGCATAGAGAAGAGACCATGCGGACCATAGAGAAGACGTGGCAGAGAAGGATGGGAGGCCAGAGTTTGCGACTAGGGAATGACTGCTGGAATCGGGTAGCCCACAGTTCCAGGCAGCTGTGGTGTTGGGGATGTTGGTGAGAGGGCTCATTCCCCTGGCCCAGCTCAGGGTGGTGGCCGGTGGTGCCAGCAGTCAGCCTAGCTCAGGCCAGTAGACTAGAGGCCTGGCATCAGCACTACTCTTAGTCTCCCGAGGCTGGAATTTGCTTCTGAAGGCACAATCTGTTCAAAGAGACTTTTGTCTAGGCTGCAATTTAGTTGCTGCTTCAAATATAATTGTAGAAAGATACTCTTTTGTGTGAGTCTCCAGTTTTTGGAGTTTTTTTTAAACCTTGAGTTGTACATTCTCTTAATTAAAGCATCTAAACACTTCCTGGACCATGTGTAAAATTTAATCAGTTCAATAAATAATGACATTTCAGGATGTGACCAGCTTTTAAATGTGTTCTTTACTGGGAAATTCGCATGGGAATTGATGCCAGTGACTTAGCTTCTGACGTGAAGGAGACTGAGAATCTGGTTCCTGGTCTTAGTGTTTTGGGACAAAAGAGATTAAGAAAAGCAGACACTCCCTTTCCATTGTTCTTGTTTTCTAGATTATTTGTTATTTACAAGTGAAAAAAAATGAAAGAATGATTTAGGCCACTTACTCACTGGCCAAGGGAATTATGTTAGTTATCTTAGTTCTCTCTGGCATTTAAACTGTTGGGCACATATTGGGCTGTCTACAAAAGCTTATTCAACAAATAAAAAAAGTACATTAAGTTTTAAAATCTCTGCCTTGAAAAACATACACTGTTGCTATTGTGTTCCAATACTAAGGTAAGCTTGAATTGAATATAAGTGCTGGAGACAAAATAATACTTACTAGATTTGAGGCATTTGAATAGAAGGAGGAACTGTTGCATTTTTATGTATTACAAACACATTTTTTTTTAACCTCTGTCTGTGCTTTCAGGTGGTTTGAAGTGTCCCGTTTGCAGCTTTGTGTATGGCACCAAATGGGAGTTCAATAGGCACTTGAAGAACAAACATGGCTTGAAGGTGGTGGAAATTGATGGAGACCCCAAGTGGGAGGTAATTTTTTTAAGTGTAGTATTAATCTTGACATTTCTAAACACAGATGACAAGCCAGGCCAGCCCAAATACTAGGCACAGACAGTCATTCCTCAGAACATTAGATTTTCTGGTTGGGAAACTTCTGAAACGTTTTCAAATTATGTCTCGTGTCTGAGGGGTATAACTGGGTAAAATCTGGGCCAAGCCTGTGAATTCTTGTTCTGGGTTGAATTTAGACTCTTTTGTGAAAGTTTGTATTAACCTCGACACTTTTACTTATGTTATTCACAAATCCGGAGTTTCAGATGTTGCATCTGAAAGAGTGGAAGGCAAGGATTCTATTGTATTGCCATCCTCACTGAGAGAATTGGAAAAGGCTCCATTTCCGGATTCTAGGCGCTGCTCTCCTTCTGTGGAGATCTCATGCTCCCAGCTGCTTTTTTGGTTTTGTTTTGTTTTTTTTCCTTAGGCGTTGGAACCATTCACCTGCTGAAAACACACCTTCATTATAAGAGCCAATAACGATCTCTCTTTTCAGATACTAGGTATCACCACCATGGACTAATTGCAGATACCTAAGGCAGGGCTTCTCAGACTCAGCATGCTGTCGACATTTTGATCTGGACAATGCTTTGTTGTGGAAGGCTGTCCTGTGCCCTGCAGGCTGTTTAGCTGCATTTCTGGCCTCTTCCCACTAGTTAATAGTAGCTTCATCCCCCCAACCCCATCCCCTGTTGAGATACTGAAAAATGTCTCCAGACATTGCCAATGTTCAGCATTTCCTGGGGGTAAAAATCACCCTCACTTTATCTAAGGACTTTACAGAGCATCCAATGGTTAGGAGAAGGTTTTTTAAACAGAATCCACAACATATGAAAAAAATAATACATCATGATATTGTGGGGATTATTCTGGAATGCAAGGGACAAGTAATCTCATGGAAAGGTAACATTAACATCCATTATAGTATGAAACAGTCACCTTCATAGATGCAGAAAAGGCATTTAACAAAATTCAGTGTTCACTGATGAAAAAGAGTAAATAAAATTTGATGGATACATCCTTAAGATGAAAAAAAATAAATGTGTATCACCCATACACCAGCATCTTACTTCATTGGGAAACACTAGAGTGCTTCCACTGAAGTCAGAAGCAGACAAGAGTGCCCAGTGGCTCTGCTGTTCTTTAACAGCATGTGGAGGCATCAGTCAGTGTGGCTAGACCAGGCAAAGCATATGGAGACCTAGAACTGGAAGGAAAGAAATAAAAGTATCTCTCTATGCATATAAGATGATGATATTTTCAGAAAATCCAAAAGAATGAATGAAAAGCTAATACAAACAAAAAGGAGATTAAAAGATCAACATACAACAGTTAGTTGTAGATACATGTACACCTGCACATATGAATGTGTATACACATATGTGTAAATATAAGAATATGTATATGATAATATATGCACACATACATACATACATAAAATCAGTTACAATGGAAATAAAACCCCCATTTGATACAGGAAACAAAACCAAGATAAATCTAGGCATAAACCTTATAAAAATGCCCAAAGTGTAAATATGGGAAACTATAAAACACTCTTGAAAGAGACATAAACCTAGAATTGAGCAAATTTATAGGAATACTCAATATCATAAAGATGTTAATTCCCCTGAAGGTAATTTATACAATAATTTATCAATGTAATATGATCTGTTACATATTACATGTAATCTAAATACCATTAGATTATTTTTCTGGAGCTAATCAAGTTGATTTCTAAAGTTCATTTGAAAGAATAAGTAGAATTAGCTAGGGAAACCCTTGAGAATAACAACCATGAGAAGAGAATCCTACCAAATATTAAAACATATTATGAAATCTCTCTAACTAAGACAGTGTGCATGAATAGATGGTCTAATGGAATAGAACAGAAAATTTAGAATAGACTCAATGACATGGAAATTTAGTATATGATAAAGATGGTGTCTCAAGTTGGTAAGAGAAAGGTGGGCTTTTTGATAAGTGACATAGGATAACTAAATAGCTATCTGAAAAAAGATAAAATTGAATCTGTTTATTATAACATATAAAGTTATATGAGACAAATTTTAAAAAGATCAGATATTTAAATGTAGAAACAATAATATTTTACAAATACTAGAAGAAAACATAAGTGAATTCATCTATAAACTGAGAGTGTAGAGACCTTTTGTAACTATAATTCAAAATCCAGACTCAATAAGGAAAAAGGCTTTTAAAAAATTGCATAGAAAAACTTTAAAAGTCTTATGAAAAAGAGCTCATAAGTAAAAAGATAAATGATAAAAATATTTTTTGTCACATAGAAAAAATTAATATCTTTATCAAAGGCCTATAAAAAATAGTAATGAGAAAGATCAACCCATTAGAAAAATGGACAAGAGATAAGAAAGGTTCAGGGAAAAGGAAATATAAATAACCTTGAATAACTGAGAACATGATCAGCCTCACATGTAAGGAAACAAATTTTCATTAAAATTAGCCCGAGATGGAATTTCTCACCTACTAGCTTGACAGAGATCCAAAAGTTTGACATTATCTCTGCTGGAAAGGCTGTGGGGAAATCTGCTCTCATACGTTGCTGCTGGGAATGTAAAATGGCCCAACCCGATGAAGGGAATAGCAATATGTAACAAAATTACATATGCATTTATTTATCCATTAACTCAATAATCCCACTGTTCGGAAACCATCCCAAAGTTTCACTGGGACACTATGTGTCCATACTGACATAAATAAATGATTGAATAAGTAAATGTGGGAGAAGGAACTATGTATTTCCCCCCCAAAATAATGATTAATAAATGTAGAAGGAATGAGGGAAATAGAAAATTACTATTAGAATACCACAGGAACAATCCTAGCAGGTGAGATCCATTAATGAGTGCTAGGTTAGTAGGCAAAAGTTTAAGGAGAAATGAGATACATAAACTCTGGATATCTCCTTCAAAATATTTATTAATTACAAAAGGCAGAAATAGAAGCTTTACAGTGGAGGCACCACCTTCACAAGCAATAGAGGTTGGCGTCATCAGTAGTGAGGCACGCTGACATCAGTAATGAAGCATGCTGTTATGATGTGATCAGCTGAGAAGACACTTCATCTCATGGTATTCTTAACTAAAATCTTCGACCTCAGTCTAATTATCAGAAACCATCAGACAAATCCAAATGATGTGCGTGGTCAAATACTTCATCTGTACTCCTCAGAAGTGTCAGGGTCATGAAAGATAAGGAAAGTGAGAACTTTCATAACCAGGAGGAGACAATGGAAGCATGATGGCTAAATGTGCTGTGGGATGCATGATTAGATCCTGGAACAGAGAAAGGACATTAATGAGAAAACCGGAGGAATCTGGAGAAAGCCTGTTGTTTAACTAGTAATAGCGTCCCAAATGTTAATTTCTTGTTTTGATCATTGCGCCATGATTACGAAAGATGTCAAGCTTAGGGGTGGCTGGGTAAAGGGTCTCCAGGAACTCTGTTGCAGCTCTTTACATCTTTGGAACTCTTGTGTAAGTCTAAAATTATTTCAAGTAAAGTAGTTACAAAAAATAAGAAATGGGGTCGTTATATGTAGGGAAAGGAGGCAGAGAGCAAGATGGAAGGGATGGGGAGAAGCTAAATTTCTCAAAATACCCTGCTGTGTAGCTTTGACTCTGATTTTATAAAATATTGTAAAAGTATTTTATATAATAATAAAAACAAAATTTAACTTAAAAAGCAAGTCTTAAACATTGTGAGTAAAATGAAATAAATGATTCTAACTGTATATCAAATTGGTGACCTAACTACATGGAGAGGAACAATTTCAAGAGATTTCAAAATGGTTGTTTGATGGGGATGTAACCTAAGGGCAAAACAGACTGCACAAACTGCAGTTTTCAAGTATTCTGTTGTTGGTAGTAGGGATGATCTTGTGATTCTGAGGCTGTTACTAGTGTTTAATAATGACAGTGAAACACATAAAATATGTTTAATTCTGTAAGTTTATAATGATATTTGGAAAAAACAACTTAGTCATTTTTGTAGAATGTTAGAGAATCAACTCTTTATTTTTGAAAATCGGTAAATTAAGACCAAGAATCAAGTAACTGTTCTATCTTTATTTTTTAATTTTTTTGAGAGATAGGGTCTAGCTACCCAGGTTGGCATGCCTTGGAGCCTCCCTTCATAGCTCACTGCAACCTCGAACTCCTGGGCTCAAAAAATTTTCTTACCTCAGGAGACAGTAGATAGTCCTTTCTACTATCTTCCAAGTAGATAGGACTATAGGCAAGCACCACTATGCCTGGCTAATTTTTTGAAAAAAGTTTTAAATAGGGACAGGATTTCTCTTTGTTGCCTAGGCTGGTCTCAAACTCCTGGCCTCAAGTGATCTGCCCACCCTGACTTCCCAAAATACTGGGAATACAAGCATGAGCGACCATACCCAGCCCTCTTCTACCTTTAAAAACAAAACAAAACAGAACAAAACAAAACCCTGTGTAAACATAACCAAACATTTGATGAGGGGAAATTTTTTCTTTTGAAATATTTCAACTAACCCATGAAAAATAAGAATATTACCATGTTGCAGCCTTCTAGTGGTGTCATGGGTTTAACAATGATCATCAGTTACTGCTGACCTTACATAAAAGAGACCACCATCCAAAGCATGTCTCCTGAAAGAACTGCCCAATATCACCCATGCAGCATTCTTGACAAAAAGGGAACCTGAATCTACTTAAACATTTGTATTTATATCCAATGACCAATTTACAGAAAACACCATGGATGGAGGAACTTTGGTCAATTCCATGGTGATACAATCAGCAAAACTTAGATTGCTGACAGCTCTGTAAGGCAAAACCCCTGCTGTCTTCAACAAATAACTACAAGGGGAGAAAAGCCAGAAATGGAGGAAGAGCATATGGGTTTTAAGTCTTATGAGACACATTAATCAGTTCTAGTGTGTGAACCTCATTTAGATTTGATTTGAACAAACCTAAAAAATGAGGTAATTGGGGAAATTTAAACATTGTCTAGACCTTTGATGATATTAAGGATTTATTGTAAAGTTTTTTGAGTGCGACAGGAGCGTTGTAGTTCTTTTTTGGATGAGTTTTATTTTTTAGAGATACAGTGTGAAATATTTATAGGGGAAATAATTATTTCAGGATTTGCTTCAGAATAATCCCAGAGCAGGGCATGGAGTATGTGGGAACATAGTCCAAGAAAGTCTGGCCATGATTCACCCTACAGAATGGGAGAAAATTTTTGCCATCTATCCATCTGACAAAAGGCTAATATCCAGAATCTACAAGGAACTTAAACAAATTTACAAGAAAAAAACAACCCCATCAAAAAGTAGGCAAAGGATATGAACACATACTTCTCAAAAGAAGACATTTATGTGACTAACAAACATATGAGAAAAAGCTCATCATCAGTGGTCATTAGAGAAAAGCAAATCAAAACCACAGTGAGATACCATCTCACGCCAGTTAGCATGGTGATCATTAAAACGTCAGGAAACAACAGATGGTGGAGAGGATGTGGAGAAATAGGAATGCTTTTACACTGTTGATGGGAGTGTAAATTAGTTTACTCATTGTGGAAGACAGTGTGGTGATTCCTCAAGGGTCCAGAACCAGAAATTCCATTTGACCCAGCAATCCCATTACTGAGCATATACCCAAAGGATTATAAATAATTGTACATAAAGACACATGCACACACGTATGTTTATGGCAGCACTATTCACAATAGCAAAGACTTGGAACCAATCCAAATGCCCATCAATGATAGACTGGATAAAGAAAATGTGGTATGCATGCACCATGGAATACTATGCAGCCATAAAAAAGGATGAGTTCATATCCTTTGCAGGGACATGGATGAAGCTGAAAACCATCATTCTCAGCAAATTAACACAGGAACAGAAAACCAAACACCACATGTTCTCACTCATAAATGGGAGTTGAACAATGGGAACACATGGACACAGGGAGGGGAACATCACACACCAGGGCCTGTTGGGGGTAGGGGGCTAGGGGAGGGACAGCATTAGGAGAAATACCTAATGTAGATGATGAGTTGATGGGTGCAGCAAACCACCATGGCACACGTATATCTATGTAACAAACCTGCATGTTCTGCCCATGTACCCCAGAACTTAAAAAAGGAAAGACTTGCCATGATTGATAATTGCTGAGATTGGTTAGTGGATGCATGGAGGTTTATTAGACCTGTCTCTCTGCTTTTGTGTGTTTAAATTTTTTTTTTTTAATAAAAATTCTTTTAAAAAGAGTTTTGGAGTCTGACAGACTTAACTTTGAATCCTCTGTCACCTGTAAACTACTTGCCCTTGAGCCATTGTTTAACCCTCATGGCTTAGTGTTCTCGTCTGTACAGTAGGCTAATAATCCCTGAGAGCTCAGAAGCACTGAGAGAAACCATGTGTAAAATTCTGAGGCCTGAATGAGCCCCCTGGAGGCCCTCAGAAAATGGCAGCTGCTATGATTATTGCAGATGTTGATGATGATCACTGTTACATCTTCATCTATGCAAAAACAATTAATCACCTAGTGTTTCAAGTATTAATACATACTGGAAGAATTTACTCTTCATTAACAAAATAGACACTTGAATGTCAATTACCGATGTAAAACTCAATCCATCTTGTCAGTAGGTGCTTTTATAAATGCATGCAGTGATGCCCTATCTCCACTGAAGGCCTCGCTTCCAGCAGATGCTAGCATCTTATGCAGAGCCATGAACACAACAGAAATGGTTGACATAAAGCCAGGTAGTTGACTCCATACTCATCTCCATGAGATGGTGAGCAGCCAGGAAGCTGCCATGCAGGGGTCACCAGTGGAGTAACAAGCCTCCTCTTCCAGCAATGTGCATGTCACCTGGCTCCCAGGAATGCCTTGCAACAAGTACCACCCTTCCTGGCAGCAATTATGACATGCTTTCCCCAGAATGAGGAGAAACCTTTCAGGCTGCATTCCTGTCCTTTCATAGGCTCAGGCATTGCCTGGATCTACTGACGGCTAATCTGTTGCCTCATGGTACTGAGAACAAAATATTCTTTTTGTTCACTTATGCATTCATTGAATATTTTTGGGGTGTCTACCGTATGTCAGGATGGAAACACCTAAATGGACTTGGCCGGTTGGCTGTGAAGAAATATTATATGCTATTCTGAACCTCTGTGTCATTTACTGATATGTGCTTATAGAGCATAACTTGACTCCTGTACATTTTGTCTGAAGTCCTTCTTTTTGTTCTTCTTGATTGGTGACATTCATGCATCCATCCTTATAGTTTTGTTTGCACTTTCCATCCCTTCCAGAAAGAGATAATTATTAACATCTGGTTCTATAAAAATTCCGTTCCACCTCTTCTCTCTTTGAGGCACGAGGTACCTGTGAATGCCACTTTAACTCCTCCTACCCTCACAAGTCCTGGTTTTGTGCAAATATATTTCTTGTAGTCAGTTTTGTTTCTTACACCTTCATGTACGAATAAGAATGGCATGGCTGGGCGTGGTGGCTCACACTTTGGGAGGCTAAGGCGGGTGGATCACAAGGTCAGGAGATGGAGACCATCCTGGCCAACATGGTGAAACCCTGTCTTTACAAAAATACAAAAATTAGCTGGGTGTGGTGGTGCATGCCTGTAATCCCAGCTACTCGGGAGGCTGAGGCAGGAGAATCGCTTGAACTCAGGAGGTGGAGCTTGCAGTGAGCCGAGATCACGCCACTGCACTCCAGTCTGGGTGACAGAGCGAGACTCCATCCCAAAAAAAAAAAAAAAAAAAACCAATGGCACAAATAGCTAAGATTTGCTGAACTCTTACTCTGCCAGGACCTGCGCTCTCCATGTGCTGTGTAATCACTGGTTCTCTCCCTTCCACCATCAGCTGCCCTGTGGCTGTGCCCCTTCCTCTGCATAATCACCCGCCCTACCCCTTCCACTGTCAGCTGCCCGGTGGCTGTGCCCCTTCCTCTGTATAATCACCCGCCCTACCCCTTCCACCCTCAGCTGCCCCGTGGCTATGCCCCTTCGTCTGTTGGCCACATGGCACCCAATCCCCAGGGTAAGGCACAGATCAGAGGTAGTGTTGGTAGCAGCAGGAGGAGACAGAGGAGCCGTTAGAAAAGCGTATACAAGAATATCTGAGCTGGTCAAATCTCTAATTGTGAACAGCATACATAAACTCCGTTTCCCACCACAAAAATGTACAGCAGGGGCTTTTTACCAAAGCTGGTTTTTAAAGGTCTTGATCCTCACAGAGAAATTTTCTCTTTGGGAAGTATATTTATGGGAGCAACTGGTTCCTCAGGGGTGCCAGGTAAACGAGATGTTGCAATGTATTGCTTTCTTATATGTATTTGTTCTATCTTAATACATATTCTTGGAACTTCTGGGCAACAGTCGATCTTTTAGGAGATGACTTAGATATTATGTTTTTATTTAGACAGCAACAGAAGCTCCTGAGGAGCCCTCCACCCAGTATCTCCACATCACAGAGGCCGAAGAAGATGCTCAAGGGACACAGGCAGCAGTGGCCGCGCTCCAGGACCTGAGATACACCTCTGAGAGTGGTGAGGACACCTGCTCTTCCTTTGCCATCGCAGAACGGTCTTTCCTAGACATGCTGAATGAATGCATTTGCAGATGAATGATGTCCATCAGGTGATCTACTTCCGAATTGCTGACCCAGCGTTCAGACTGCAGAAGCAGCCCCGTTGCCAGGCACCAGAGATCTCTGCCTCCAGAAATGCTCTAGAAGAAAGCCAAAGCAGAGGGGAGGCCTTAGAACAAGACTGCAAGATTCCCCCGCATGTTATCACATTTAATTCTCAGAACAGCCTTGTGAGGGGAGGAGATCTGATTATTCTCACTTTACGGATGCGGAAGGTTGCTTTTCATTGTTAATGGTTGGCTAATAGTTAATGGTTGTTAGTGGTTGGCTGAAGGTCACCCACTTTAGGATGTTGGAGCTCATCCTGGAATCTGGGTCTCCTAACTTCTTGTCATGGCATCGTCCCATTCCGTGATTCCTCAGGGACGTCTCCTCCAGGGCCTACAGGGGCCAGGCAGGCAGTGGCAGGAGGTGGTGTGGGCTCAGTGGGTGGTAGAGAGTGGCAGAGACTCTGGCGTGTGGGAGTTCACTTTGCAGACCTGCAAGGTCAGGTCACTCATTCTCCAAGTCCTTCCCAAAAGGCGCAGTCAGGATTTGTATATGAAATGTCATGATTTTCAAATGTTAGATCAGTTCTAAAAAAAAAAAAAACAAGCCACTGTACCAGCCTAGTGGCAGTTGGGGCATTATGCTTAGAAAACAGTTTTTCTTGATGCTGTTTTTAAAAGATGAACAAAACACAAGCTGATGATTCATACCACAGCCCTGTACAAGGGCAGAGGTCAAGCAGGTTGGGTTAAAGAGGAAGCATTAGGTAAAATGCAATGGTGATAGGAAATAGGAGTTAGGAAGACACCATTTTTCCCCAGTTCTTAAACCCCCAAACTCCAGATTGTAAGGAAGCTGCACAGAAAACTCCTGTGGGCCAGTTGGTTTAGGGAAGATTAATTGGCAGGGCTGTGTTCACTGCCTGCTGAGCTGCAGGGAATTCGGGAGGCAGCGCCTCCACTCTGCAGACGGGAGAGTCGAGGCCCAGGCTGTTAAACATGGCTCTCCGCACTGAGGTCCTGTCAGAACTTCAGTTTCCTTCAGGACTTGAGTTTCCTTCCATGATCCAGTGACATCAGTGATTGCTTAGGACCTGCAAGATGCAGCCCATCTGTCTTCATCCCCTATGAGCACACACACAGCACATATGCACACACACACCCCCCAACACACACACAGGCTGATGCTCAGACTCATTCACTCTCTCACATCTTCTAAGGCCCTCCGATGTCTCTTCATAGCTCTTAACTTTGCAGCTGAAAAGGCCAGGTTCAGCTTCTCTGGCTCCTGCCTGGCCGTGTCACTGTCTCTTGCCACCCCACCCCTGGGCTGTGCTGCCCTCAGCCAGATCTGCAGCTCTCAGAAGGTACACACACTCCAGTGCTCCCTGGGGTATGGCCTGGTTTCTTCTCCCTCACAGCCTTTTTCTGCCAAACTCATCCTCGTCTGCAGTACTCAGACTGCAGGTCACCTCCTGAGAACACCCCCCTTTTCTGCACTGTTTCCTAATTGCACTCCTGACATGGGACCTGCCAGGTTCTGTAAGGATTTGCTTACAGTCTGGCTTAGGAGCCTCTGTGCCCTGGGAGGAGTTGGGGCGGGGGGGGGAAGGGGGAAGTGGTAGGACTTTGTCTTTATTCTTACCAGGAGCAATAGTTCCTAGGGTTTGATAAATGGTCATTGAGGGAGTCTATGGATGCGGAATTAGAACCTCGCCTCAGTAAGTTGCACAGGTAAATGTTTTTGTCCTTGCATGTTCAGAGTGGTTGGCTGCAAGGCACATTTGCACCACTTCCCTTAAGGGACATGTGTTTGGGGAGTACCAGGCGATGCATTGTGAATATAAGCTGGCCACTGCCTCAGTCACCGGCTTGTCCTACCTTCTGCATGAGACACGTTGAGTTCCCCTTCTCTGATCTCTTATTGATTGACTCACATTGGAACACGGCCCACAAAAAGCTGCCCATGAGGATGAAAATGTTGGCAGAGACTGCAAAATATTATGCTAAGGTGGAGATCAAGCAGTCATTTCTCTTTTCGTAAATTAATGATCAGGGTCAGGGTATGCTCAGGACGGTTGCAGATGGCCTGGCAGATGGTGGGAGCAGGCAGGGATACTAAATAGCTGCCCTGATGATGCAGAATCCCGTCTTTAGAGATGGTTAAAATAGAACCCCCAGCTTCAGTTGGTTTGGAGTTCTAAAGCCCACTGGTTGAATAATTGAGACATCCTTGGATGTTTTGCCCATAACTTGTGGAATTTCTTGGCACACACTTTCATTGAGTCTGCAGCTGAACGGGCTGGCTGGCACTCCTCAGGAGTTCAGCTTCGAGGGCAGCCACGTGTCCGCATGTTAGGACTCAGAGCACATGGGTTCGAGTTCTGGCTTTGTGGTGTAACTGACTCAGTGACCCAAATGAGGATCCTACAAAATGCAAATAACATCTCAATGTCCCATCGTCACAGGGTTGCTTAGGGTTTTGAGATGTTCCTATAGAAAATGCTTTGTAAGCTATAAAGCACCATACAGATTATTTCTGTTGTCAAAATGAGCGATTACAGAGAGCCCATGCATCCTCTGGAGAAGGCATCACCCGAGGGAACAGACGGGCTGGTTTTGCATTCCATGTCCTTCAGCAACAGTGGCTCCTCTTTGCTTCTTCCTCTTAAGGCGACCGACTGGACCCCACAGCCGTGAACATCCTGCAGCAGATCATTGAGCTGGGCGCTGAGACCCACGACGCCACTGCCCTTGCCTCGGTGGTTGCCATGGCACCAGGGACGGTGACTGTGGTTAAACAGGTAGGGACCCTCCTGTGAGTATTCATCCCTGTGTGTCTCACAGTCAGGTTCTCTCCTCTTCCCTGTGTTTCTAAGTCTTTAACTTACCTGAGGTAGAACTTGGAATGAAATTGGTCAGCCTCACACCTTTTCTTTTCTACCTCTGATCTCATGGGAGTGCTTCTTCAATAGCTCTATATGTGGGAGGTGTTTGGGGGAGAGGTATAGTATATTTTTTTAAAAATTCTGGAAACTCTCCATTCATTTTCTTTCAAAGATTCCCAGAGTGAGAATGAGCATGATGTGGACCATTGAGACACATCTCTGGTGAAAACAGCTCTCAGTGCCTAAGTCCCCATCAGTAAATTGAGCTAGTAGGACGCATGGGGGTAGCCAGAGAAGCCAGGAGGATTTCCCAGTCGACTGCCCTTCCTAAATAGTAAACACCTGATCAGATCAACACAGGATACTGCTCTGGTAGGAAGAGATGGTCAGTTTTGGAATAAAGGTTACTCCACTTAATTAATCCTTTATCTGCTTGGCTCATTTCCTTTTCTGTCCTCAGTGGAGACTTTACCATCTGTTAAAATGCAATGTGTTTGATAATTAGGTCATCCTTTTTATCTGTTTATACCTAACTGTCTATCTGCTACCTGTTGTTTCATTTTACAAAAGATTTTAACTGGCTTACACAAATACTTTAAAAACAGAAAACCAAAATAGTAAATGCATCAAAACCAGGGAAATTTGTAATCTGAAATCAAAGTTCAAGTTCACAGAGAAAGCAGAAATGCAAACCATGGAGTTTCTCACATTTAGCCACTCCTGTATTGACTCATTTGGTATTTATTGAGTGCCTACTGTTGTCAGGCAGAGTTCTAGTTGCTGGGGTCTAGGAGAGAACCAGTGTCTGCCATCATGTTGGTTACCTTCCAGTGGGGAAAAGGATAAAGCACAAATAAACCAGTATGACATAAAGGATGTCAGATGGTGAACAAGTGCCAGGAGAAAAGTAAAGCAAGAGAAGCAGGAGAGGAGTGGGATCCAGGAGCGTGGGTTGGGATGATTTTGTAAAGGGTTGTTGGGAAAGATCTCTGACGTGAGGAGAGACCTGGAAGAGGTGTGTATTACTAGAGTTGTCTGAAATTGATTAAATTTGTTACCGAATTGTATAACAGAAAACAAAAAGGAGGCGTTAAACAGTTAATTCAGGAAGGGTGTTAGCTTTTCCTGTCACTAACAAGATATTTCTTAATGAGGCACTGACATAGGGATGCCTGAGTGATGTGTCCCTGGTGGCCTGATGAGCCAGGAGGGGACATCCCAGTGCTGTCTCCACAACTGTCCCCTGAGTGTGCCCAGGGCACAATGCAAAGCATGAAATTCAGGCCAAGTAATTCTCTGGGGGAATTAGTAAGTACATTCGGTTTCAGCTCTTGAGTTTCTTGACCTACGGACAAGACTTAGCATATCTAGATGAATGTTTGGATTGCATGTCCTAAAATCCCTCCTCCACAGTGTGGTTTCTCTCAGGAGTCGAGCTGGAGAGTCAGCAGCGGGATGCTTCAGTCTGTAGCAATCTAGTGTCTGCATTGGCTGAGAAAAGATTCATATCCTTCCAGGCTAAGTACCTTTTTAGCTTTTCTTGGTGTTTACTAGGTTGCTGTCTTCAGATTGTCTTATGAATCTCTTCCGAAACTCCTCATTTGCATCTTGACATGTGGAGTCCCCACCTGGACCTGGTGCTTTAGGAGGGTCTCTCTGGGATGGTATCAGGAGGAATTTGAATGTCTCATACACGTGAAATCCTTTTGAGAGTGCAGGAAGGCGCCTCTGATTGTGACTTGTGTCTTCTTTCTAAGAACTAGATTGATTTGCTGCTGCTGGGAGACATGGTTTATTGAGCCTCGCAGGCAATGCAGTGATACACGAGGTCACAGGGTTTGGGTTACAGCTTAGATATGCTTCGAGGCATTAGACTGACAGCACAACAAGGGATGAGGCAGATAAGCATCCAGAACCACCAGTGTCAACAAGCTAAATGTGTTTGCAGGAGGAGAAAACAGTGCCGCCCTTCCGAGGATCTTCTTTCTTGTTGCAAACACAGCAAAGAGTGCTGTTGAACACAGTCGTGGGGAACTGCATTTGGAAATGTTCCCCAAGAAGGTGTATGTCCTGGCCATTATCTTGTCTGCCTGGCCCTGCACCTTGCTCAAGGCAGCTCTTGAGAAATGACAGAGAGGAGAGTGGGTGGACAGACTAATGGGTGAGTAGACGCTAAGCACCACTCCTATAGCAAAGGAAATGAAGTGTTTCAGGCTCTCCCAGGTGAAAGGATGCCCTCTGAGTTCCATTGTCCTATAGTTTAAATTGAAATATAGCTGTATTTATTAGAAAAATTGGTTTCAACCTTTTTCTTTTAATTAAACTCTGGTTTAGGGTTTTTTAGTCAAGAAATTATGCCTGCTTGATAACTGTGCTGAAGCACTGACATGTGAACCCTGGTGCACCCGTTGGAAAGAGGAAAGCTTTTCCTCCTGTGGGAGGCACCTTGATATCGGGGGCTTTCTCTTGCTCCAATCCAAGACATCACACGTAGTAGTTGCTTAATATGTGTTATGAAATAGAATTGATGATGTTGGAGGTTTTGATTCTTCAGCTGTATCCTATAAATCAGTATTGCTGGAGAGAAAAAAGCAAGAATTCCTCATCATAAAGTATGTGATGTATATTGCAGAACAATGTTTCAAATTACTATGGGATAGCATGTTTTGAGATCTTTTTATATCTCTTTTATATACATCTTCCACAAGACCAAAAACAAAACAAATTCTACATTGTACATAGTTGCTTCTGGAGGGTTAAACATTTCAAAATTTATTTCTCATATAAACAAATAGATATATACTCTATTTATAATTTTCATGATTCATTAATGTTAACTGAAAAAATCTTATATATCAAAATTCATCAATAATCACTGAAAGTGATTAATCCCAAGTCTTTTGGAGTTTTTAGCTTCTGGGATGAAAGTAATGGCAGGCCTGGTGTGGGGCTGGCAGTGTTGGAGAGAAGAGAGCTGGGAAAAAAACTGTTTGCTTCTTGCTCTTTGAAGAGACAAGGAAAAGATTTTGCCCATAATTGAGGCCATTTAAATTCTCTGTTGGATGCAGAAATGTGTCTTCAATGACTTCTCGTCACTTTCTCTCTTTTCTTGAGTGTCATCATTAAAAATAGATTCACGGGGCCTGAGCATCTCCAAACGCTCAGAAAGAATCACGCTTGCGTGCTGCACTTCCAGCCCGGCAGAAGGGCCCACGTGAGAACCTGAGTGCCACTAAGTGTGTGTTTGTTAAACCTAACAGTTTTCATTAAATAAGGTGATTCCTTTTGTTATTGTCGTTAATTCTTGCGTTAAGGTTTTACGAGGAGGAAATTTGTATTCAATAAATAGAACTGCCTAAGAAGGTAGATGGAAGAAAGCTAGCTGCACAGGAAATGCTATCATGAGCATCTCTGAGTCAAAATTAGTTATTTAAAGGAAAAGAAAAACCGAAGAAAATAACAGCAACAGTCATCACCAGTGGCTCATGGCTTAAATCACTCGTGGATGTTCTTATGGATTGGATTTTATTTTAGACTCAAAGGGGTGGCGTGCCCCTCCACACCTGTGGGTATATCTTGCCAGATGGGACAAGAGACTGAGAAAAGAAGTAAGACACAGAGACAAAGTATAGAGAAACAACAGTGGGCCCAGGAGCCCAGCACTCAGTATACCAAGGGCTGCACTGGCACCGGTCTGAGTTCCCTCAGTTTTTATTGATTATTATTTTCACTGTCTCAGCAAGAGGAATGCGGTAGGAGAGCAGGGTGATAATAAGGTCAGCAAAAACATGTGAGCAAAAGAATCTATGTCATAATTAAGTTCAAGGGGAGGTACTATGCCTGGATGCGCATGTAGGCTAGATTTATGCTTTTCTCCGCCCAAACATCTCAGTGGAGTAAAGAATAACAAAGCAGCATTGCTGCCAATGTGTCTCGCCTCCCGCCATAGGGCGGTTTTTCTCCTATCTCAGAATTGAACAAATGTACAATAGAGTTTTATACCAAGACCTTCAGTTCCCAGGGGCAGGCAGGAGACAGAGGCCTTCCTCTTTTACTAATCCACCTCAGCACAGACGCTTTACGGGTGTCGGGCTGGGGGACGGTGGGATCTTTCTCATCCCACGAGGACGTATTTCGGACTATCACATGGGGAGAAACCGTGGACAATACCCAGCTTTCCAAGGCAGAGGTCCCTGCAGCTCTCCGCAGTGCATTGTGCCCCTGGTTTATTGAGACTAGAGAATGGCGATGACTTTTACCAAGCATACTGCTTGTGAACATTTTGTTAACAAGGCACATCCTGCACAGCCCTAGGTCCCTTAAACCTTGATTCCATACAACACATGTTTTTGTGAGCTCAAAGTTGGGGCAAAGTGGCTGGGGCAAAGTTACAAATTAATAGCATCTCAGCAAAGCAATTGTTCAAGGTACAGGTCAAAGTGGAATTTCTTATGTCTTCCCTTTCTACATAGCCACAGTAACAGTCTGATCTCTCTCTCTTTTCCTTACACAAAGTAACAGTGTATTTATGATTGACAGGCACTCATTTAGTAGGCATTTACTGAGCAACTGCCATGTGTTCACTCTCTGGTTGTGTTGATTTCCTATCGCCACTGCCACAAATTACCACAGATTTATGGTTTGAAACAACACAAACTTATACTTCTTACAGTTCTGGAGGTCAGAAGTCTGTAGTGGTTCCTGTGCTAAAATCAAGGTGTCGAGAGAGCTAGTGTTTCTGGGAAAGATTCCTTTCTTGCCTGTTTTGGCATCTAGAGGCCACCTGCACTCCTTGACCCAAGGCTCCCTTCCTCCATCCCCAGAACCAGCAACGGCAGGCTGAGTTCTCACATCCACTCATTCTGACCTCTGCTTCCAGGGGCAAATTGCCAGCCTTCCTACTCCCTTTTTTAAGG